AGTAAGTAAGTAAGTAGGTAGATAAATGTGAATACTTTGTATTGTTAGTTGTTTAAATAAACAGTGATAAGTGTTAAATAAGAGATAAACCACAACATTTTTTTCACTAAAAACATTTCGGTTCAAGTTATTAACACAAGTTCATATTACGTCTATTTATAGTCGAGAAATAGACCTCGACAAATTAATATATGTGTCGGGGGATTTGAGGAGATAATAGAATTTCCTATAGTTTAAACCACGTACTGACTTGAGATAAACAATCATTAAAAATCTAAAACCACTGGATAGCTATTTTGTTTTGGTATGAGATCTTTCAGCAATGAACATTCCTAACTTCGAGAATCGGAATGGAACCTAAGATCTTCGGTCTTGCATGCTGCGATGGGTAAAGTTCAATCATGCCGGAAAATAGTCAGTCATCTATTTTAGGCAATGGAAGATGGTTGCGTAATATCGTGAATTTATTAAAGTTAGACATCAACACAGATGCATATCAGTTCAGAGGTCTATGGGAGATGCGTTTGATCACCAAACTGAAGCCTTTCGGTTCTATTCTAATTAATAGCGTTGTGGATGCGCACTGCTGAACGGTCTCATAACAGGAAGGAAACGCCGTTCAGTGTTCTCAGGTCAATTAATCTGTTCAACTGAAAATAAACATATTTAGATATAAATAATTCATAAATGTCCTTCCCAATGTAAGGGAATGAATGTGAATGATTTACTTTCATCGATTCAGTGAAATTCATCCAGTGGATTCCTTTGAAATTACTTCGTACAATAATCTGTGATACTTATCAATTCTTATGACACGACATGTTTTTTTTACAGAAACAGGTTGAGCGCGTTGCTGATATGGTTATAAGAAGTAAAAAATGTAAGTCGGTTTTTCGGTTTTTAATTTATTTTGCAGCTAATTCATTGTTACCTGACAAATAATCTGATTAGGTTACTTTTATTTAAAATGTTTGCTGATGACACTATCCAAAAGGATAATGAAAACCTCACGATTAAACTATTCAGTTCAGAAAACAACGTTTCATCAAAGTAAATCTACAATCATGCTATCTTGAATAGATATTTTATATAAGATACAGTTGTAGTTAATCAGTTGACTAAAGGTCCTGTCTCCTGATAACTATTCAGTTCACGTCTACTTATTAGTCTGTTCATTAGAGTTATTGAAACAGTTTTATTAGTCACTTGTAACATGATGACAATTTCCGGAGTTAATTCAGGATACTGTAAGTTAAAATACTATTTCGGCTGGTTAAATGAATAGAGCATCGCTTACAGGGCATTCAAATCTAATCTAATTTCACAACTATTTGAAGGCGTAAGTAAAACATCACAAGAAATTGCATAAATATTCATTTTAAGGTAGCTTGATAAAAAACAGAAGTTTGATGTAATCTAACTATTTACGAATAATTCATATAACTGGATTAATTCCATGGAGACTTAATGAAATATGGCATCATTTTCAAGGCTGAATTCTTCTAAGCCTGAATACCTTTTAAATATATTTTAATTTTTGGATGACATATTTCTTGTCTGTAATCTATAAAGCCACCATAATAACTAGTGATTAATTCAAATAAACAAACTATTCATTGTACAAGAAATGATGAATATATCCGACTTTGAAAGCTTAATGGTAACGTTTTTGAATTTGACTCTCAAATAGAGAAACCACTTCAGATATATTTTACTATTCAGTACTATTCAATATTAAAGGATTTATCATCGATTACTTCCAATTACAAAACATTATTCTTATAGTTGAAATCATGAGTCATTTGAAGCTAGACCACTATGGAAAACCTGGAAACTGTGGACTGAAAGGCCCTGGGTTCTAATCTCGCGAGGCGGAATTGTGGATGCGCACTGTTGAGGAGTTCCACAATAGAACGAAACTGACATCCAGTGTTTCCAGGTTTTTCATGGTGGTCTAGCTTCAATTGACTCATGATTTCAACCATGAAAAATATTTGTGTACTTACTGAATGACAATATTATCATTCAATTAATAAACGTTGTGAAGTGGCAAAGTTATTAATTCTTAAGTATGTTATAGAATAACTCTAGAATCTATTTTGTCTTTTCATATTTTATTGTGTTTATTTATTCATTTCTATGATTAATGAACTGTGATATGAAATAATAAATATAATTTTTGCTGTATCTTATTGAGTAGAGAAATTGAATTTCTATTGTTTCGTGACTTAATGTAAACCCACTTCTTTAAAGTAAATAAATAGCTGACATTAAATTTTTACACAAGTTCAACTTTAGTTCAATGTAGAGTTATTTATTTACTCTGAAGAAGCGGCTTCTATTGAGTCACGAAACATCGGAAATAAAATTTCTCTATTTTAATGAGATATAACAAAACTAATATTTATTATTGACTTTCTACTCAATGTTTCATTTATTTGAAACTATCAAATTCAATCTTGGCATTGATATTTGACAAAAATAAACTGATATAGTTAGTGATAACTGATCATTTAAGAACATTCTTGGAACTTAATAAAGTTTAATAAATCATTATTAAAGTTTAGTCGGTTTTAAGGAAATAGTAACTTATGAGAAGTGTCATAATGAACTGATATCAATTAAAGAACTATGAAAACCTTGACATAAAGTGTCAAATGTAATAGAAACAAGTTTAAAGAAATCTAAAAATTGTAGCACTAAGATACAGAACGAATATTTGCAGCCACTGATTTCTGGTTCGAGACAACTTGATAGATGAAGTTTGTTTGGTTGGGTTCTGAATGATAACTCCGAGAAGTGGTTGAAGATTTGGTTGACGCAGTTCAAAATCACTTACAATTAACTTAGTATTTTTTTCTCATATTTCTTTTCATTAAGCTACTATGAATTATATTTTTGCCATGACCTGAAACTATAACTTTAAGATCTTCTGACAATCAAGAAGTTTTTCTCCACCAATTTTAATTAATTAATGATATGGTACAACTTGTATTCAATGTTGTTGGTGTATAATTAGAACAGTCATTGCTTATTTGACTTTACAGATCTCAATTTCATACTAGTACTTTAAAATTTCATCTCAAAGCTAAGAATCATCGACCTCAAAATCATTATTACTATTATTTACAAAAGTCATTGCTTAATGGTGTTATTTTAATCTCATTTCGTATATACATATGCACACAAATTTTCGTAGATGCCCACTGCTAAGGAGTCCCCATATTAAAATGAAACGGTCGTCCAGTGCTTCCAGGTTTTACATGGTGATCTATCTTTAACCAACTCATGAATTCAACTATTAAATTACCACAATCTCCACAAACCCCCATTTCTGTGTAGATGCGACGTGGGAAGATAATCATGCTTTTTCGGTATTCAATAGAAATACAATGTCTAGCATTTTTGAGAGTTTTCTTCGTTTATCTGGCATGTCGCTGATGAATAAAAGAGTGCGATTTTCACTGGAGATTTCATTTTAATCATTAAAATCTATTTTTATATAGCTTCTGTGAACAGGATACAGTAGCGCATTCAACATTGATGGAAAGAAATAACTAACAAAGTGACAAACAGAGCTTGAAATAAAGTCCCTAGAAGAAATTATGCTCTTATTTTCAGCATTCACTCACTAAATGAATGTAAAAATATTAGATATTGCAAACATATTGAATACTGAGAGGGAAATGCGCTACAAATTCACGGACACGTACCCTATGCCAATGCAACTGAATATTGTAAATTCATTATAATTTACTTTATATCTATTTTGTCAGGTTTCTAGCTTCAGTTTTTTTTTATAACGTTTGAAGCTATAACTCTAGTATTTTGTTCTGAAAAATACTTACACCCAGAAAATCATTATTTTTAAGTTTTTGTCAAATGTTTGGATCTTTATCGACTGAATTATCTCAGAATAATGTTACTAATACCTAACCGCCTACTAAAGGGAAACATAATGCTGGATAAGATAACGATAAGCTGGAAAATGGGCACTTCTATATAGTAAACAATAAAAGATTTCAATTTATGTATAATTTATAAACTCTATTGATATACTAAGTAACTTGTAAACACATTTCTTCACAAGCAGCTGAGCAGGACATAAAAATGACATCAAAATTTATTGACAGAGAATGACAACCACTTTATCTGAAAAAAGGTTCTACTCTTATACATCCCAACTTTCCTATCTTAAATTTAATACTAAAATCTTCAAAATTAGGCAATATTGAAAAAAAAGTAGCTTAGATGGATATTTTTCATGATACTATATTTTCTGAATTGGATAATGTAGTTGAGAAGTTTTCATCATCATTTTTGATAACCTAATCAAACACCACTCGAAAAAGAAATTCATGGCCTTGTCCAGCAGAATAATGAAAGCTTCGTAACTTGACCGTTCAACTTAGATGATGAAGAAATACAGAAATTTATACTTATAAAAAACATGGTGTCAAACTTTCCAAACAAAAGTTTCTGTTGTATGATCTGAAGACCCTACTTATGGTGTGTTGTTACTGAAGAGTTTCAGGTTTGAATGAAACAAATGTATAATGCCCTACTAATTGTTATAATGGGATTTAATCTATAACTCGAAATCCCCTCTTTCCTAAGAGGAATTTTAATGTCAAATACAGTTTAGATGATGACTGAATTCGTTGTAGTCACTTGCCCTGGTCAACACTACACAACATGTCTTAGTTCATATTATTAATAATAATGGTTGTAAATAGACAAAATATTTAACCTTTAAACAAAAGTCTATAATAACAGTTTAGAAGACTGAAAAATGTCAGACAGAAATGATAGAAGGTACATTTATAACTCATTATAAAATAAACTGGAATCATTTATTCAATAGTTCTACAGCATAAGAGAATGTTGTTTCTTCTTTTTAAGGGTTTAAATCATTGATTATGAACACATTACTAAAGATTAATGAAACGGACTGAACTTTAAGACTGTCCTTAATTATTTATCATAGAAATTTATGTAATTTATTGAAACGAATATTTGTAGTTAGTATTTCTTTTTTCATGCCTCTCGTAATACTCATCATCATCATCATCATCATCATCATCATCATCATCATCATCATCATCATCATCATCATCATCATCATCATCATCATCATCATCATCATCATCATCATCATCATCATCATCATCATCATCATCATCATCATCATCATCATCATCATCATCATCATCATCATCATCATCATCATCATCATCATCATCATCATCATCATCATCATCATCATCATCATCATCATCATCATCATCATCATCATCATCATCATCATCATCATCATCATCATCATCATCATCATCATCATCATCATCATCATCATCATCATCATCATCATCATCATCTTAAATATTGAGGTATTTGAACAGCAACTGAATTGTTTTATGCATTTGTTTTGCTAAATTTTCGTTCCACAGTTTAAAGTGGAATGAGGACTAAAAAGGTTTAAATCTTGATCTCTAAAATACTAGGGTTGAAGGTGTACTCTAAGTGCAACGTCAGTATTATTTTGACAACTGCACATATGACAAAATTATGACCGAACTACGTATACCGTTGCGTTTATTAAGTTTTATTTTTTAACCTTTTTCCTTCTCATGTATTAGTATTATTGAATATGAAACCAAAATGTACAACTGTTTTCTCTAGGAGTTTCATTCTATGAAATACCTTTCATTGAATTAAATCACCTGTTACAATTCTCACTACATATAACGATCCTTAATATTTTTCTTCAGTGTACAGTGATTTACTCCTTCATAAAATTAAAACTTGTGTTTTTATATGATTCTATTATTTATTGATTTACCGAAGAAGTGACATAAAATCAGAGTGAGGGAGGGGTTTGTGGAGATTGTAGTAATTTCATAGTTGAATTCATGAGTCGATTAAAGCTAGACCACCATGAAAAAACTGGAATCCTTGAACGGCCGTTACGTTCTAATATGAGGACTCCTCAGGAGTGCATATCCATATGTTGGATCGTGAAATGTTAAAAATTCAAGCTTTTAATTAATAGAAGAGGATTACGAACATTTTGTTTTGATGAAATATTTTATAAAGTTTAAATTCCAAATTTATTCCCATCGTCAATGTGTGATCACAAATTGGTTGGTTTTTCTTTATGGTAGCAATAACTAATTTAATTTATTCAACTTTGATTTTAAATATGAACTAACTTTATTTGTCTATACATATAATTTATGTACAGTTATGTAAACTATGGTTATTATGGTGGAGTTCTGTTGAGTTCTTTTTTTTCTGAGTTGGTTTACAGTTGAGAATTTATAATGTGACTATTTCTTAAGCAAACACATTCACTTATTCATGTGATCTATCAAACTATTGGAGACATTGAGAAATTACTTCGTTACGTGTATTGGTCACGATACATATATATTTCAAACGTATTAAAGCCGGAAAAGAGCTGAAATCTTAAGTTGATAATTTAATATATCAGAAGGCTTCAAATCCCGTGAGGCGGGATCGTGGATGCGCACTGCTGAGGAGTCCCATAATAAAACGAAACGGCCGTCCAGTGCTTCCATGTTCTTCATGGTGGTCTAGCTTCAATTGGCTCATGCTTTCAACTATGAAAATACTGAGATATCCACACAAACCCCTTCTGTTAATAATTTTTTTTCATAAAAGTAATCCTTTAATGTGTTATTATAATTCAACACTATCTATCAATAAGCTTCACTTTTCTTAGAAAAGTAATAACTATGAATGACACTATCCAAAGATAATCTTACATGAATATTAATTAATATTAAAAAAATAACCCTCTCTGTAAATCAGACTTCCTTGACTATCTTTGGATTTATCAAAGATCAAGTTTTAGAAAGTATATTTAAGTAGTATCATCGATATTAAGAAATGACTCGAATATACATCATATGTAATAGTATCATTACAATAGCAGGATCAAAATCAAAATGTTTATCCATTATAGATTCATAAATGTATTTATATATATTTGATCTAGTGTAATAGAATTATAAATTAACTACAGTTTCATTATGAACAATATAATTTAGTCAAATAAATAATTAATTATTTTCAGAAAGGTATGAGGAGGAAGTGGATAAGACATACATTAAGGAAATCACCAAACTGCATCATGAGGCAATCCTTGACTTGGAATCCGGAAGAGAAGCGGAAAAGAGGAAGGCCAAGGATCACGTTACGCCGGGAAATAGAAACAGATATGAAAACGATGAATAGCAACTGGAAAGAACTGGAAAGGATTGCCCAGGACAGAGTTGGAAGGAGAATGCTGGTGGGCGGCCTATGCTCCTCCACGAGGGGTAGCAAGAGTAAGTAAGTATGAAGAGTCTCATACTGGAATGAAACAGCCGTCAAGTGCTCCCAGATTTTCTATGATAGTTTAGCTTCAATTGACTAATGAATTCAACTATTAAATTAATTATTGGTAAAATAATGCAATGACACATAATTTTAGTAAATTATCTGTTGAAATAGGGTTTTAATACACTATACTACTATTGAAGATAAAATGAAGATTAGCATTAATAACAATGACGTGGTATGTTACAAAATTTGGCATTCGACTTTAATCCATGAAAACAAAATGCAATATATATATATATATATACATAATAGTAATACTGATTAGATTAACAATATGTTGTGAGTGTATGTGATTAAAATGAACCCAGTAAACATTATATTGCTACCAAACAATAGAAGCTACTCGCATGTGAAGAATATTTTAACATTTTATAATATGAAAATCGCCTCACAAGACAAGCCCTCACATGGAATCCTGAAGGTCAACGGAGAAGAGGAAGACCAAAGAACACATTACGCCTAGAAACGGAGACAGACATGAGAATAATGAACAAAAATTGGACAGAACAAGAAAGGAAGGTCCAGGACAGAGTGGGTTGGAGAATGCTGGTCGGCGGCCTATGCTCCATTGGGAGTAACAGGCGTAAGTAAGTAAGTATAATATGAAAATCTTCATTTGGTGCTTATAATGACTAAGACTACTGGTAAATGCATTATATAATTATTCTTAAAACTCTGTTATGGCTAGAAATCACTTTATGAAATTGATGAAACATTCCATCTTCATTTAAGTTTTCTTTTTTCATTCGTCTTAACTATGTTTAATATAAACTCGTGGAAGGCTAAATAGTAAAAATCCGAGATGACTCTCAATGCCTTAAGTTTATTTAAATCGAATTTTAAGTCTTTGTATTGAAGGAATGCGTAAATAACACTTGAGAGAGTCGTTCTAGATGTTCTACTTTTCTTTTTCACTTTCATTCAGTTTACTTCATATTACGAAGTTCACAAGTAAATCTAAAGATTTCATTATGTTTTGTAGTTAGTTAAGCTTTAATATAAGTAGTAGTTGTGTAGTGAACAAGAAGGCGAATGGGGACAACCGAATGTATTAAAGCACAAATTACAGACTATACAGTAAACAGTTAATTTGCAAAATAACAATCAATTGTCTCAATCTTTATTGTTCCTTCTATAAATATCAGTTCATCTTGTCTAATTCCATTGTTCATGCATTTTCCTATCAATTGCGCTTCAATCTTGTTCTTTCCTTATCGGTCTTCTGACAAAATACATTCTATGTCTGACCATTGCATATACTACTTATATGGATATAAGTAGACAACACCACAGTTGAAAATGGTACAGTTAAGTTGAAAACTTAATACAATCAAACTGATTCCAAAAATCAATTAGTATGACATTAATTTAACTGATCTGTATGTGTTTATGATTTTATTAAAGATTAGCAAAACAGATCAAATTGACGTTTTTCCACAGTTTTCTTACATGAACATACTATGTAAAATGGTACATTATTCCAGAAGCCTACAAAACTAACTACTTATACATAGTTCTAGTTGTCCTCGCTAATAATAAACATTTTTCTTATGTGAATATAAATATTTTCTCTTTATAACTAATGTAAAGTCAGGGGTATCGACTAAGCTAAGGCTTATAATGATAAATCAATGTCAAAGTATTTGCTTCTTATTGACTGTAAGCACCAGATAGCTGTTTCGTCCTTATTTAGGATTCTTCAGAACAGATAATCTTAGATTTTTTATAATCACACCATTATTTATGCAATAATATGAGAAAATTTCTTAAAAATACAAACATTTTGTTGGCTGGAATTATTTATAACGAACATAAGTGTTCAAACAAATTTGTTTTGTAAACATATTTTTGGATTATAACTTAAATTACTTAAATTACCTAACATATAATCATATTAAACGAATATATTAGATTTAATAACTGGTGTTATTACCTATATAAGAACTTCCGTCTAAATTAGAGCGAATAGTTTCACAGTATTTGGGCACAGAGTTGATGTAAGACATTAAGTATATTATTCCTATTTGGTGTTATTACCATTGTTATTATTATCACATATAAATTATTGAATCCTAATTACATCAGTAAAACAAAAGATTAAATTGAAGCTTGAACATAGTGGCTATTCAATATGATTTTATTCTATTCAATTCTCAGTATGGGGTTATGGAGATTGTTAAGTTTTTGATTGAGATCATGAATCAATAAATGTTAGACTACCACTAAAATCTTTAGAGCACTGAACGACCGTTTCATCCTAATATGGGACTTTTCAGCAGTGCACATCCACGATCTCGCCTCGTGAGATTAGAACCCAGAATCTATCAGGCTCGCGTGAGCGTCTAAACTCTAGATCATTGATCTGGCATTCAACGGTGTTAATGTCTAACTTTAACCAATTCACGAAATTGCGCAACCATCTTCCATTATTTAATTTAACTCAGTTGTACGAAACAATTTAAAATTATTTATAGAATTATCAGTACAGTTATAAAAGATCTCAATAGACAAGTTTAGAAAAGAAACAACAATACCCTTTAAGATATTAACAAGCTATATAATACTATCAATAAAATAAGTAGTACTTACTTCGTAAATTTTCTATAAAGTAACGATGAAATAAATTGTGAATATACACAATTTTATTTTTCTAATCTATTTTTATTTATTTCTAATCCATTCTTTATATAAGTATTTATTAATAAAATTATTGAATTCTGATTGGTCAATTTAAAATTTGCCGAAATAATATATAATATATTCTAATATTTATCTTTAATATTAATTATTTAATGTATTCTTTATATGAAATGTACTTTCTTTAAATGAAATGGAAATAGTTTTCTTTTTTCTTTCTCTTTTTGTCGTTACAACTAATTACCTACTTACACCTGTTACCCCTCGTGGAGGAGTATAGCCACCGCCCACCAGCATTCTTCTTCATCCAACCCTATCCTGAAATAAATAATTATTTACCTATAATTTTTTTTGTCAATGATAATAAATTACATTCCCAGTAGATTTATCTATGTGGTTATTTCTTAAGTAAATAAGTAGGTAAGTAAGTAGTTTGAGTCATGGTAAGCATTTTCTTTTTCAAAGGTTAGTATTTGTTGAAAGTAAAAACTGGGGATAAAAAGAAAATAGTTCGTGTTCGTTGGTTGTTTGTACATTTTTATCCTAATAACAAGTAGAATCTGTATCATTTTCGACAAAAAAGTGAAACTAGTTTTGGAAAGCGATACATTTTGCTTAGCATACTTCGAAGGTATTTACTACTGGAGGCCTATTTGGAGAGAATGT